CTAGGATTTGGCCTTCTTTGCCTTTCATACTAGTACTAGCCCAATTTATCTTTGGACAATTAAAGTTCCTCTTTGTAACTACTTAACATTTTTACTTGCAAATTAGCCATTTAATCTGTCAGTACAGTGCTGTCTTCTCAGTAGTGCAGTGAAGTGTAAGTTTAGAAATACCCTTGAATTGTTGGAGTGTGGTTTGAACCTATGATCTTCTAACTTGAACGTGAACTGTGCCGTGGTTGATATAAGATCAGAGAGGTGTAGACATGACTATTGTTGTGAAGATAATGTGGACTGAAAGGGCTTTGATGGGATCATATTTCCACTGTCATATCTTGTCAGGAGCAACCACACAGTGGCATTTTCCATTAAACTACCATGATGGCTTTTGACAGCATCAGACAGGAATAGCAGGGAATATAGACGTTAAGCATTGATAAGTGTTTCTAGTTTTTCTGGGATGGCAGGGCAAAGTCATTGTGACAGTTTTTTGATGTTAAATAATCTCAACTCTGCTGTACGTGAAAAATGAGGTGCTGAGAATAAAACCATTCCATCTAAGTGTAATAATCTTCAACATCATTTGACTGGTTGTGGAACACTTGAAAAATGGTTCCATATGAGTTGAAATTTTTATTAAAGCATATCTGACACTGGGGGCCAAATGTTTGTTGAGAAGGTAGTCAGGCCAAGTTGACAGATTTGACTGACTTGGCACAGTTTAGCTTTCAAGAGTCAGAAATAGTATGGAGTCATGTGTACTGTCTCTGGAGGCTGCCCAGAGTGAGATTAAACATAGGCAGATGGAGAAGCCAGAAGCCTGGAATGTTCTTCTATGTTCACTGGGATATCAGCTCAGCTTCAATAATAATGGTCAGACCCTTAGACCCCCACCCCTAACCTAAACTTATTCACTCCATGGTGGGTTAGTTGTGGAGTAAGGGTGGGGGCCTCAGATTGAAGGAAGCCTGAATTTCAAACCTCTTATGGTTGCTTGTGAGCTTCTGGGTGGGGCTGTCTCTCTTGTTCAAAGGCATGCAAAGGTTCAACCATCTTCAGCTGCTTCATCAATGACCTTCCCTCCATGATAAGCATCAGCTGTGGCTCCTCAGATATTGAAGCAGCCCATGTCTAAATGTGGCAAGATCTGGACAATGTCCAGGTTTATGTTGACAATTGTCAAGTAACATTTGCATCACACAAGTGCCAGTTGACCATGTCCAACAAGAGAGAATTTCACTATCACCCTTGATATTTAATGGCATTACCATCACTGAATCCCCCATGAGTAACCCCGTTAAGGTTAGTATTGATTTAAACTGAACTGGACTAGCATGTAAATAGAGTGACTTCAAAAGCAGGTTAGAGGCTGAGAACCCTACAGCAAGTAACTCATCTCCTGATTCCCCAAAGCCTGTCCACCATCTACAAGGAACAAGCCAGGTGTGTGATGGAATACTCTCCACTTGACTGAACGAGTGCCGCTCCATCAACACTCAAGAAAGTTGACACGATCAAGGCCAAAGCCACTTGATTGGCACCATATTCTCAAACGTTCACTCCACTATTCAGTAGCAGCAGTGTGTACCATCTACAAGGTACACTGTAAATATTCACCAAATACATAATCACTTCCATCTAGAAGGACAAGGGCAGCAGATACATGGATACACCACTACCTGCAAATTCCCCTCCAAGCCACTCACCATCTGACTTGGAAGTATTTTGCTGTTCCTTTAATATTGGCTGGGTCAACTTCCACCCTAGCAGCATTACTGGTGTGCTAACATCAAATGGATTGCAGCAGTTTAAGAAGGCTACTCACCACCACCTTCTCAAGGGCAATTAGGGATGGGGCGATGAATGTTGACCCAGCCAGTGACACCATGAATAAAAAAAGGTCAAGGGATCAAGGGACCAAGCATTAAGAAGCAAAGGGATTCAGGCTGCTGAACCTTACTGCCAACACCCCTGTCATGACCTTAACTGCACTATGTTTTCCCACCACTCTATCCTCCATCATCACCTGTGGCCTCGGTCCCTCACAATCCTAGGTCATGGGCAGATGCATTGCCAGCAGCAGCCACTATTGCTGCTGTCGTAGCTGAGCAGTGCACAGCTGCAGGCCTCTGATTGTCTGGCAGTTGTTGTGGAATGGGAATTCTGTCTCTGACTTCCTTGATTTTTGGGATGACTTGCCACTACTCAGCTGAGTCCCTGAGAAGCACTTAAAATATGGCAGGCCTTCCTAAAAGGAAGCAGTGTTGGGCCCTGACTGGCTGTCCAGCCGGTGACAGAGACCCTTGTCAGCTGTAATAAATACTCTCCTTGGAGATTGCAAGCTGTGTTTTCTTCAGTTTTGAATGCATAATAGCACTTTTCCAAGTGGGAAATGCAATCTAATACATCACAACACATACACAGTGTTGGTGAATGTCAGCTTCCCTTTGCAGGAAAGAGCCCTATAATGAATCACTGTAGTAAAAACTACATCTACTTTACAATGCAGCATGAAATTGTTGAAACTGAAAACCTGTCACTGAAAGAACTCCAGGACTAAGTGTTTATTTTTCTGGTTCCCCACTTGGGACTGAGGCTCTCCCACTGATCACAACTCCTCTAAGGAGCTATGAGCCCCATTTACTTGGGAAGTGGCCTGACTCTACAAAACTTGCATGTTACGTTTGAACTGCCATCCGGCAATGGGGCTGGAAGGGCTTATCCCACACGAGAAAATGTCAAGAATGTGAATGGGGTGGGAATCCTGGAATCAGGAATCTTCATTTTTAAAAGGCCTCCCAACTTAGTGAAAATCCAGGCAAAGATCCCGATGACACCAGTCCTAATGATTAAGCATTAGATGTCAACTGTAGATACTGAAGATGTATTAAAATTACCCATACCTCCTTCGCATCACACCCCTGCCCCCTCCGAACATTCTACTGGAGCCGCCCTTCAGTAAAGAGAATTTGCAACTGTTGTGGAGAAGCTTGGAATTTACTATGGATGGAAAGAAATCAGGATTTTAGCTATGTGTTTTTTGATTGCTACTGTGTGCTTATTTTCTCTGCAAAATGCAGCAAATTTCCAGTGGGTCAAGGGTCTGCTATCTTAAGTAGTAGCAGTTGCCTTCTAAAGCAGATATTTCTGCCAATTTGTGTTGTTTATGTTTCAATACAATTCATCTGAAATCAGCTAAACCATGCAAATATTTGTGCAATTTTAAGCACAAATAACATTTAATGTAAATCATGTTTCTGTAAAATTTTGCGTTAGTTTTAAAACCACTGTGGAAACTGACTGTACCCTTACAACTGACTCCAAACCTACTTCTTGGATCACATTTTAGTAACCTTCCCAAATAATTACCTGTGCGGCTCAAGTTAAAATTTTAACTGAGCGTGTTTCTGGGAAATACCTTGAGACTAGCTAAAGGAACGATATAAATGCAAGTTATTTCTAATGGTGCTTCCCAAAACTTTTGGCCTCAACTTAGTCATTCACTTTAAAAACTTGCCTCTTATTCCAAAAGCAATTTTCTTCATGATACCTTATCAGAATATTGCTAAAGTCTAGGTTGATTAAATCTATCGAGTTCCCTTTTTGAATAAATTATTCTCTATCCCCAAAGAACTCATGTTCGTCTTTTCAAGCAAGATCCACTATCCCTATAACCATGTTAATGATTTGTTTTAATCACTCAGTGTTTCACCTGATGATTCAAGAATAATCTTACATTGAACATCTAGAATGTAACTTCAGCACACAGTGAACAGCCTGGACCCTCGACTTCAGTGCAACTAAATGATACTGAATTTCAAACAATCAATGGACAGTGCTAACGAAATTGGGAGTTTAGATATTTCAAGGGAACATTGAGGGTCATTTTCAACTTCACTGTTTCTGTGTGGGGGGAATTTAAAGGGCCTGATCATCTACATTGAGAAGCCATCTGATTTTAATTGTATTCAAACTACAAGCTACAGAATCAATATAGGAAGGTAGTCAGTGATAAGTAGAATACGTGTTCTATGGAGTAAAATATTGCAGTACATTGGGAGGCACAAAAGTTGCTCCATTAGTTGCAAAATAACTCCATTAGTTGCAAAATAATATGGTTAACAAACTAGCAGTGTGGTCATTTTATCATTTGATTGATAGGAATGTTTATAAGTAGGATTCCAGGAAACAATTTGCCTTTTCAGTTGGATGTAAATACATTACTGATTGAACGTTCATCTTGTGAGTCTTTAGTTCCCTTGATATCCTGCCATTCCTTTTTCATATATTGACACCATGTTTGCCTCTCCTAACACTTTCTTGTCATACAGAGCACTCATTCAAGTGGACCAACAAAGCAATGAGGTCAGTTATAAAGCCAATATTTAGGGTCCGCAAAAATTGATTTCAGAGCCTGTTCAGAATTTGTTGCGGCTTGATATGTAGTATGACACATCCAAAGTGTGGAAATATTTTTGTGTTGTCTGTCATATTTGGTTTTGGGATTCAGCTATTGGCATCTTGTGGTTGGGGTGGTTCACTGTCACCAACTTTAATGAGAAAGATTTAATGAGAAATAGCCCTTATCTTGAACAATATGTAGTTTCTTGCAATCTGTTGGGGCCTTACAGCCAGCACCCAATCAGTGTTTCTGTGATATCTTAACATGAATCTAATCACTGAACATTTATAAAGTAGTTTCTTTGCTTTCTGGCCAGACTGATAGAGCCCCTGCCTTTATTACAAGAGTAATAAATAGCTGATGATATATACATCATATTTTACTGAATTTAGACTTTCATAATCTGAATCTGTAAGAACAAGTAATTTTTAAAAAATGTTCACTGATTATTTTGTAAGAAACTACAATGATCATGATTTCACAGCAATGTAGCTGCTTCCTATATGTAAAACCATATTATAGCTAAGTGTGAACACTTCTAACAATTTTGCTTACTTCATAAAATTCTGTCCTGTAATAATTTAATAAAGCATGTTTTCAGGTTTCACGGATGGTTAAGGTTATCCAGGAGGATTCTCCATACTTCAGAATCATCTGTCCTACTGATGTGGGTCGTAAAGTGGCACCAGGCATGACCACCACCTTCAAGCTAATTTTCAAACCTGAGGAAAACAAGGTGTGTTAACTGGGCATGGTATTTATTATAAAAACAATTCAAGTGTTACAGTGGAATTGGATCAAAGCTGGGGATGGGCAATTGGTGACTCCATTTTAGGTGCAATATAGTCACTGAATGCTCAAAAATGGGATGTTATGTGCATGCACACTTCCAAAGGGCGTGTGTGGGATCTTATCTGCTTGTACATGCATGCCTAACATACATCAGCAGCATGCAGAGGGGATCATAAGTACAAGGCTGATTTGACACCAGAAGTCCCATTTCCCAACTCTGCATTTCAGTCAATTCAAGGTCAATTAGACCATGAGACCATTAGACATAGGAGCAGAAATTAGGCCATTTGGCCCATTGAGAATGCTCCATCATTCAATCATGGCTGATAAGTTTCTCAACCCCATTCTCCTACCTTCTCCCCGTGATCTTTGACCTTAACAATCAAGAACCTTCCTATCTCTGTCTTAAATATACTCAGTGACCTGGCTTCCACAGCCTTCTGTGGCCATGAATTCCATAGGTTCACCACTCTCTGTCTGAAGAAGTTTCTCCTCACCTCTGTTCTAAAGGGTCTTCCCTTTATTCTAAGGCTCTGCCCTCAGGCCCTAGTCTTTCCTGCTAATGGAAACATCTTCCCAAAGTCCACTCTATTCAGGCCTTTCAGTATTCTGCTAGTTTCAATTAGATCCACCCTTATCCTTCTAAACTCCATCGAGTATAGACCCAGAGTCCTCAAACGTTCCTCGTATGTTAAGGCTTTCATTTACTGGGATCATTCTCGTGAACCTCCTCTGGACCTGCTCCAGGGCCAGTACATCCTTTCTGAGATATGGGGCCCAAAATCGCTCACAATATTCTAAATGTGGTCTGACCAGAGCCTTATTAAGCCTCAGAAGTACATCCCTGCTTTTATATTCTAGTCCTTTCAAAATAAATGCCAACAAATATCAGCAAATAAAGTTACGGAAGTGTCATCAGTAGTGCTATCCAGCAGCTCAAGCTTTTACTCACTGATAACCTGCTTAACATTGGTCACTTTGGGATCCGCCAGGACCACTAGCTCCAAATATGGATGAAAAAGCAGAATTTCAGGCATGAGGTGAGAATATCAAGGCAGCATAGAAATGCATTTGACGTGATGTAGCCCTAATAACATTTGGAGTCAACTGGAATTGGGGAAAATTCTCAAAACAAGATTAGAGCAGTGACCTCAGCTCAACTATTGTCAGCAGCTTCATTGATGACAATATCTCCATTATAGGGTCAGAAATGAGGATGTTTGCTGATTATTGCACAATGTTCAGTTCCATTCACTATTCTTTGAATACTGATTCAGTCTGTGCTCACTTGCAGCAAGACTTGGACAACATTCAGGCTTGAGCTGTTTATGGCAATTAACATTCTTGTTGCACAAGTTTTGTAATGACTACCTCCAAGAAAAGAACAATTACCCAAGCAGCCTTGACATTCAATTGCATTAACATTGTCAAACCCTTCACCAGCAACATTCTATAAGTCACTACTGTCAAAAACTTAATTGGACTAACACACACAAATCCTGTAGCTAAAAAGGCAGGTTAGAGGTTGAGTGTTCTGTGGTGAGTGATTCATCCATTGACTCTGCAAAGCCTGTTCACAATGTACAAAATTCAGGAATGTGTTGAATTATTCTTTACTTGCCTGGATGAGTGCAGCTTCAACATCAATTAAGAAGCTCAACACCAGCAAAACTAAATAACCTCCTTGATTACCACTATCTCGAAACATTTCCTCCTTGTACCACCAACACATGTTGGCTGCAGTGATAACTGATTGCAAAATGCATTGCAGCAATTTGGTAAGGTGTCTCCAACAGCATTTTCCAACCACACCTACATCACTCAGAAAAACAAGGGAACAAGTGGGAATACCTCTACCTATAAATTTCCCTCTGAGCTACATCGAGCCTGACTTGAAAATCTATATGGTTCCTTTGTTGTTGGATCAAAGTTATGGAACTTGCTTCTTAACAGCGCTGTGGGAGCATGTTCATTACTAAGCTATGACTTGCCACCACCTTCTTGAGGCAATTGTGGATTGGCAGCAAATGCTGGGATTGCCACAAAACCAATTCCTCAGATGAAGATAAGAGAGTGGGTAGGGCAGATGACCCTTTTTGTGTTGCAAATGTCCCTCACTGACTCAAAATAGTGAAACAGATAGGGTAGGGATACTTTCTGTCCCTTACTACTTCCAATAAGAAAGATGGTTGTGAAGGCAAGTGAACCCTTTAATGAAACAGTAAGTGAAACCTTAACAAGAAGCAAGGTAATTCTACGTTACTGCAAAGCCCTAATCCTCCCCTATGGCTTACTGAGACTAAAATGAGGGCCTGCCTGTCAGAAAATGCATCCAGCCTACCTTCCCCTTTGTTACCTGTACTAATCAATAATGCAGATCTTGGGGAAATTGGAAGAGTACCTTGACCTCATAACTGCATCTTGTTCAAGAGAAATGATTGTGCCCTTTCCCTCTCTCCCCTCCATACCCGCTGACGTAGTTTCACTTTATCTGCTCTCTCCATCCTCATCTTACTACTCTGACCTATAATGCCACCTTTCTTTCCCCCTGTTTCATCCTCCCTTCCCCTCTCCACCTCCCAATGTACACCTGCCTCTTCTCTGGATCCAGTTGCCTCTTCTGTGAGTAGAAACAGAAACTCAGAGCAGGAGTAGGCCATCTGGATCTTGGAGCCTACTCTGCCATTCAATACGACCACGGCTGATCCTCTATTTCAATGCAGCAGAAGAATGTTCACCACTACGGTATGACTTGCTACCACCTTCTTGAGGTAATTGTAGATTGGCAATTAATGCTGGCATTGCCATCTAACCCTACATCCCAGAAACAGTTTATTAAATTAATTACAAACAGACCGAAGAACAGCTTCTTCCCTGTTGTTACCAGACTTTTGAACGGGCCTCTCAAATGTTAATTCTGAACTCTCTCTCTGCACCTTCTCTGCAGCTGTAACACTGTATTCTGCACTCTGTTCTGCTACCCTGATGCACTTTGTACAGTATGATCTGCCTGTATAGCACGCAAAACAACACTTTTCCCTGTATATTGGTACATGTGACAACAATAAATCAAACTCAAACTCAAACTCAATTGCTCAGATAAAGAATAACAGAGTAGGTAGGGCATATGACCCATTTACTGTTATCAATGCCATATTCACATTTTCTTCCCACACACCTTGATGCCTTTAAAAATCTAAAAATGCATCTATCTCTTCCTTGAATATATTCAGTGACTTGGCATACACAGCCTTTTGTCGTAGAGATTTCCACAGGTTTGCTATACCTTCTCAGGTGAAATGTTTTCATCATCTCAGACCTAAAATGGTCTTCCTGATTTCCTGAGAATATGTTCCTTTGTTCTAGACTCCCCAAACTGGAAAAAACATCCTTCCTGCGTCTGCTGTGTCCACTCCTGTTGGAATTTTATGCAATTTAATCAGATCCCCTCGCTCCTTCTAGACTCTAACAAATACAGGCCCAGTCGAACCAATCTCTCCTCATAGGACAGTCCTGCCATCCCAGTATCAGGCTAGTGAATCTCCACTGCACTCCTTCTATGCAACTGTATCCTTTTTTAAGTAGGAAGACTAAATTGCATATAATTTGCTATTCTTGTGGAGAAGAAGCAAGTAACCAATTCCATAACTGCTGTTTTATTTTTTCAGGACTATATCCATGAATTGATCTGTGTCACAGAGAGGGAGAAGTTTTTGGTGCCTGTCAAAGCTATTGGTGCACGTGCTATCTTGGACTTCCCAGATTTTATCAATTTCTCGACATGTCCTGTCAAATACAATACTCAGAAGATTCTCCTGGTTCGGAACATTGGTAAAAGAGAAACTAAGTTCACCCTCCAAACTCAAAAGTAAGAACAGTAGTCCCATTTTTTTTTGTGGTGAATCAGGGTTGGGGAAAGAATTTAATGACCACTGAAGACTCAGGTGTTTATTCTTGACCACTTGTTGGTCACGCTATTGAACAGCAATAATACTTATTGCTGCCAGTCAAAAATTCTGTAATTTTTCAAGGTGAATGATCAGGGGAGATCAATAAACCTGGACTAATTACCTGATTCAGCTAAGGAATTCAGCTTAGAGAAATTGGAAAGTGATGTACACTGACAAAGGAATAGTTGAATCCAGTTGTAACAGTTGAGAAGGGAAAGGATTTGGATGTAATGGAAACACCAAATGCTATAAATATTCATCAGCTCAGGGAACATCTGTGGAGAAAGAAGCAGAGTTAATGCCAGAAATTAAATCAGTTATCTCCAAAACGTTGAGTGTTCCTCCAAGCACTGCTCCCACCATATCCTTAGATCCACATTCATGGTCGTGCATTGCCATACACCCATTCTCACCCTCTCTTATTAGCAAGGCTGACTATTCCTTTGTCAAAGCCTTCCTGGTCTGCAGTTCTGTTTCATCTTTCATATCCCAGAGCTTTAGCAAAAAGTTATTTTGGGCTTAAATTTTTAAGTGTCAGTATTTCCCACCTCAGCACTGCAAAAGGCAATGGGAGCACACCTCTGCTTCTGAATATTGCCCCTCAGTAATTAAATGTTCTATGGAGAACGTACTAGCTCAGGGAGCATATGCCAGCATATCTGAATAGTGATGGATGTGCCACTACAAGGATTCCACCAACTCCAGCAGAATAAAGTGCCATGAGCTCAGACTGAAGGTAAGTCTGGACACTCCCGGCAGTTCAAAAGGAGGAGAAGTGTGATGTGATGTGATGACCAGATTGCAAAGGTGGGGCAGTGTAGGAGACAATGGGGTTGATGATCCCGTTTCAGGAAAAGGGATAGCTTTTTTGTGAGGTTTTTTTGACAAAAGTCCGTGTAGAAAAACGTGCTGGACCTCCCACCCTACCCCGAAGATTCCCACTTAATTTTTATTACAACCAGACGGGAAGAGGCCTTTCAGAGGGTTTCTGTTGGCGTGAGAGCAGATAGGCTGCCTGAGGCCTCACCAGCTCTCGCTGTACAGTAAAATGTATGGCAGATTGGGGGTGAGTAGGTAGGTGGCAGAGAGGATGGAAGAAGAATTTTCCAACTTCTGTCCCCTTCCTGCAAACACACCAGCATCAGCTGTAAAATTCTGCCCTTGGCCTTCCTTTTAGATGTTAAGGACCGTAAGCTTCAACAATTGTTTAAAAAGAGTTCTGAAGAAAGGTCAGGACCTAAAATGCTAACTCTGTTTCACTCTCCACAGTTGTTTTCTTACTTGGTAAGTATTTCAAACTTTTCTGTTTATATTTTAGATTTGTTGCATCCTTAATGTTTACTTGTACGCAGAAACTCTGCCAAGCTTTTTGACTATTCAGTAGTGATGTGTCATGCTATTCTCCCATTTTCTCCTCAGCACATCATTAACTTTGTTACTCCAACTCAGACTAATGGATCATTTGCAAATATTTTGGGAAATACTTGTGTGTTAGGATCTCATCTGATGGTACTACTGGACAAATCAAATCCCAAAGTGAAATCTGGCTTGATTGTTCATAGAATTTATATTTTCCTTTTGTTTACTGTCAGACATTGAAGACATTTACAAGAGGCTGACAAAGTATCTTTTATAAAGGAATTACAGAATCACAGAATCAAGAGAGTTGTTATGATTTAGAAGGAGGCTACTCTGTCTGTTGTTTCTGCACTAGCTGTCTGAGCATTTCTGCCTTAGTGCCACTCTCCTGCCATTTCCCTATTACCCTGCCATGCTTTTCTAATTAAATAATGATCTATTGCTCTCATGAATATCTCAATTGAATGTGTCTCCACCATACTCTACCACATATTCCGTCATCTAACGACTCACTGTGTGATAAAGTTTTTTTGCCTTACAGTTGCTTATTTTGCAAATCACTTTCAATCTATGTCACATGATTTTTTTTTCATTTACAAGTGTGCATAATTGCTGTCCATTTACTCTGGCCAGACGTGTGGTGATTTTGAAAACTTCTATTAGATCTAGAGATCGTATATGTTTATCACAGAAAAGAAACACACAAACTATATTACCCTATACAAGACCTATTGGACCAATCTCCTCACAAATATCTAAAAGAAAATGTAATGCTTTATACCCCCAGCAATAACTTTGCAAATACTCAAACATCAGTGAAGATCCACCTCTATCTCCATGCTAAGGCTTCTTTCACAGCTGGCATAGCTATACTGATGTTGCCTTTAGTAATTTTTTTGCTGTTCACTTCCTTATTGTGGTTTGCTTTAGCTAATGTCTCTCCAAGTCCCTTAAATCAAGCTTCATCTCACTTATTCCTTCACAGTTGTTCCCTAGACTTCATGTCTTTGACAAGATTGCAAGATGTCTTCCTCTTTGACACGCCCAAAGCCTGCTGTTTCTGGATTTTATTTCCTACTGACTTCTCAGCACTTCAGGCTTGGGAGCTGCTAATAACAGACTTCTTCTCTCTAAATGTTTTGTTTCTTCTCCCTCCCTCTCTGTTCAGTTAAAACTCAAAGTCAGCAAACATCTCAACAATTATCTCCCCCAAGTGGCTTGCTGGTCATTTAGCCAAAATCACATGACTTGGAAATGCTGTTTGGAACTCTGTTGTAGGTGGTGGTGTTCTCACATATCTGGTGCCTTTGTCCTTCTGATGGAAGTGGTCATAGATTTGGAAGGTGCTGTCTTGGGAGCCTTTGTGAATTTCTGCAGTGCATCCTGTAAATAATGCATGCTGCTGCTGCTGAGTCGTGGATGGACTAAATGTATGTTGATGTGGTGCCAATCAACTGGGCTGCTTTGAAGTTCTTGAGTGCTGTTGGAATTGCACTCATCCAGGCAAGGGGGGAGTGTTTGACCACCTTCCTGACTTAAGCTTTGAAGATGGTGGTTAGGCTTTGTGGAGTCAGGAAATGAGTTACTTGCTGAAAGATTTGTAGCCTTTGACCTGCTTTTGCAGCCATGATATATATATATGCTAGTCCAGTTCAGTTTCTAGACAATGGTAACCTTCAGGATGTTAATAATGGGGTATTTGGCAATGATAATATCACTGAATGTCAAGGGGTGATGGTTAGATTCTGTCTTATTGGGTATGGTCGTTGCCTGACACTTGTGCTGCACTAATATGACTTGCTATTCATCAGCCCAAACCCAGATATTATCCAAATCTTGTGCAGTCATCAGTGAACATCACCACTTCTGACCTTATGATAGAAGGATGGTCATTGCTGAAGCAGGTGAAGATGGTTGAGTTTAGGACATTACCCTACAGAGATGTTCTGGAGCTGAGATGACTGACTTTCATCAACCACAGCCATCTTTGTACTAGGTATGACTACAACTGATGGAGAGTTTCACCCGTTTCCCATTGACTGATTGACTCCAGCTTTGTTAAGGCTTCTTGATGCTGCACTCTGTCAAATACAGCCTTAATTCAGTGCTTAAAACATTTTTCGCTGTTTCAAATGTTTCAAGTGGAAGTGCTAAAAATAATTTTTAGCAAGTTTCTTTTAATGGCTGGAAACATTGATTTTCTCCTGGAAAGCTGAGAGACGAATTTGCAAAAATATATCCAACTCAGGGAGCTGTACATTTCATTCTCATACTGTCCTCCTCTTTTTGATGCTCCCAACCTCCTGATTTGCCAGCATCTGCTGCCTGACTAATATGTTTCTTAATCCAAGTAATTTACTAGAAACAGAAGTAACCCAAATACTGATTTCCCCCAATATGGCACTCATCAATTTTCCCAACCTCTGCGTTATTGCTCCAACTTATGCCTACTGATTTCTAACTTGTTAATCAGTGTATTGTTGATTCCCAGTGTTTATCCACTCACCTGCTTTGAGCTTACCTCTGATGTTAAATGCTTTTAGGAAGTCTACCATGTTTGTAGGATGATTTGCGCTGTCACTTCAAAAATATGCAGTGATGTGATCAAATGGGATATGTGATTTTAATTGCTTCTTAAAAGGTTATTATGGTATTGATTGGTGTTCATGTTTGATAACCGAGTGGGTACCCTTGAACCCACAACTGCTTTTCACTGTTCTATGTCCCCATACAGCATGACGTCTTCTCACTCCCGTCAAGTGATATGTCCTTGCGTGTTTTTGGGTTTTTTCATAGGATAGAGTCACAGAGTCATAGAAGTCTACAGCATTGGAAAAGGCCCTTTATTCCACCAAGTCTATGCCAGTCAAAAATAACCACCTAACTATTCTAATCCCAGTTTCCAGCACGAGGTCCGTAGCCATGTATGGGTGCCACTATAAGGCAGCATTTATTGTCCACTCCCAATTGCTGTTGAAAATTTAGTGGTGAGTTACCTGCTTGAACCGCTGCAGTTCCATGTTGTAAACGATCACATACTTTTCTTGTTTTTTTGGACTACAGACAGAAATGGAAGTTAGGCTGCTTTCACTGAAAAGATAACAGAAGGGTTTTATTCAACTTGAAATACAAGTGTTGCATATTGTTGAGCTGTGCCATACAATATTGCTTTTTGGCAGATAAAGGGAAATCGAGACTGAACAGCACCAAAAATCTTTTGAGTTAAGGAAATTCCACTCAACAGCAGCTCTCTGATTGGTTCACCTGCAGAGTATTAAGAAGTGCCAAGAGTAGAAGGGAGAAAAAAAATACATGTAGACTGTAGACAGCATCCTGCCTCTCTCTCACTAGAAAAAATGTAGAAAACCCAAGGAAACTTAATAGAAATCATATAAGAAATGATCTAAGTACCTGATCAATCATTGTACCAAAAGAAGACCAAACAACAGCACCTCTTCATTGTGGAAATCAAAAAAACGGCTGTAAACAGGAAAGGATTGCTCTCAATTAAGTTGTGACAAATGTTTAGGGGCTTGTCTGAGATTTTTTGAACCAGGGC